AGAATTAGTATATTCTGGAGAATAATATGGTACAAGTTTGAGAACATAGACTAATATAATAAACAGTTAATCGTTAACTCCCCACACACTCAGTAAGAGAGAGTGCTGTTGAAATAATCTGACCAGTTCATCTTCTGGGGGTATTCCTCTGCTCCACAACAAAATATAAACTAGTCTGAAAGTAATTAATTATCAAAACTCTTACTTTTAGTAATAATAAATATGTTATGTCTATAATGAACATGTTCCTTGAATTTTCTTTGATGAAATATACGCTAACTTTAAACCTGCAAAACGAAAAGCTGAAACAGTTTTTACAGATTAATGAAATATTTATTTCGTTAATTTCTGATAGTAGGGCGTAGGATATATCACGTATCTTTTTGAAAACTTAATTAGCAATTGCTTTTTTTTTTACAGCCAATCATTTTGTCTCATTTCATTCGATGTACTTATGGAACAGTTACACTTTCATTTCGTTTCACATTATGTGGTGATCCCCGGGGTATCGATCCTTAGACTTTCATCGTTTCTTATCTTCATCAAGAAAATTCACGATGTAATCAGTTTCCAAATAGCTATTTATACTGATGAGGCAACTAGTTATTTCTAAGTAACTTCGATAGGCCCTAAAAACTAAAACGAACAGCTTATCACAAAAATGAACCTCAGCTCTTAACTGGGGCAAGTTATCGCATGTAAACTTTACCTAATTCATATAGAAGCTAATAACATTATTCATCATAGAGAACCGTTTTTTTTTTTCCATCAGCATGACCGTTGACATAGATAGCCCATTGAATTAATTATTATGTCAGCTCCCAGGGAAGTTGGTTCACTGTTTCGTACCAGATACTATTTATGGCCATAACTTATCTTACACATTTATAAATCTACAATTCTACCGTTCATTGAACATTTTTAGCATATTTGGCCTGGTGATTATATGTTCTATTATTCTCGATATTCTCGATTCCAAATAAAGTCCTGTAATATTATTGGTCCTGACCTGACATGACGACTTCAGCAAGTTTCCCACCTCTTGAGGTAGCTTCCTTCTGTCATTTGTATAAATATTACCATGACAATTTTTCTGATCAGCTCTCCTCTTTGGTAGCACGACTGCGTGAATTTAAGCGTACTACTAGATTCGCAAATGAATTGGTATAATCGTAGGTGATATTATAATAGATTTCTTCTTCCATACCTCGCCTGTGGAAATGTCTCCCAATTAGTGCTTCTCCGCTAGGGTAAATTATGAAAAGATTAAAGATCAAAACATACAAAAATCAATAAAATAATTTCAGAAAAATATGGAGAAATAAGTTTGAGGTTTGTGAACTTCAGATATTGTAGCTCAGTGGTGTTCATGGGAATTAAAATCAAAGAAAAAACTCTGTTGGAATTATTCAGCTTCCTGGGAATTAACATCTTTTCAATTTTATTTGTCCCTGTACAGCTGGCTGCCTCGATGTTATGTAGCAGAATATACTTAGAAACTATGCGAATGACATTACACAGGTTGAAAAGAAGAGATATTTGAAAAAGTCTTATGTGGTGCTCAACTTGAGAGGAATCTTTAGGGAAGGAAAAAAAATAGCAGACATTTGAGGAAGGCATTTGGATTCTAAATAGCTTCCTTCAATTGAATTTCACTGGTGGACCCCAACAGCTTGGCAACAGCTTTACATCTGTTTTCGCTTGAGTTATTGATTGAACAACTGATTGAATGTAGAGGTAAGTCGATATTAACGTTTCAAAACAATAGGAAACCATGTTAAATCGACATTTCTGAACTGTTTGCCTCTAACATTGCTTTAGGCTTACACTACGTTTAAAACAATGCAGAAAAATAAGTATATATGTTTTAAGTACATCCAGTTGACAGGAAAATCTCTTTTTATCGGAAATCTGTCTCTTTTGACTTTCAGTGACGTCAGAATCAGAAGTACCTATGCTATCATCTTTTACTCTGGAAATGTGTTTTTTTAGAATATAACAGACCTTAATACAAGTCAGAAGCTAATTTTAAAACCGTTCTCAGCGGAGGTAAATCTGACATTATTCAGCCACATACATATTTAAAAATATATTTTCACTGAAATTGCTACGCGTTTCGTTTACATCCAATAAGCTTTAGTGTGCTCTGACTTTAATGATTATGAGTGTGCCTATGACACAAGTGGATGCTTTAAGTTTTCATGCAAAAGGCTTAGATACATTTCTTGCTTTTTGTGAGTGATTGTAAACAGAAAAGAATCTTCCAATATTAGTATTGTCTAAACAAAGAGAAAACCCAAATCTTGACGAATCCTTTAAAAATATATTGATGGTATTTATGAATATAAACATTTTCTGTTTTTCTTGCTCGAGATTCTCGATAAAATCTTATCGTTTTTAAACCTGCCATTTCAATTTAAGTCACTTACCACCGCCGTGGTGTATCATCTGTTTGTATTTTCTATAAATATTTTTTTGTTTTATGACAATTGTTCTGATAGTTACCCCGACTGCATGAATTTATGCCTGCTACTAGTTTAGTAAATAGGTAAACGCCATTTTTTTAACTTTTTTAAATTGCTTCATGTAATCGTAAGTTCTTTGCGAATAATTTATTTCATACCAGCCACCTATTCCATTCTATCATCATCTTCTGTCTACCTGAATTCTGTTCACATATTTTCCTTTCGCCTCACCAAAGCCTTCTCCCTCTCTTTCCCTCCGTGGAACCATTTGTGTTTTCAAGCCATTATCGTCTTGCTTAGCTGCGTAATGATTAAACAAATAACTTCAATTTAGTTTATATTGTTAATTTTAAACCATGCAAACCAAAATGCATCTTATATAAAAAAGCATAAGATCAGAATCAGTTTTACATACAAATTTAAGCTAAATTATTAAATAATTATAAGTGTGTGTGTTTGTGTATAATAAAGTACTAAATGGATAATATATGAAAAATTTACTTTGCATAATTATATTATTCGTGTGAAAAAGTAAATTTGACAGTAAATGGAATCAGATCTATTTCTGAAATTGTGACATTCTTATCATGTCTACGAATTTTATGACGGCCATCATTTGCGGAGGCCGATAACAATTTAATTCGAACATTAAACATTCAATTATTTTTTAAATTGTGACAAAGAAAATTGAAAGAATACACTGAGAACTAAAAATGTAATTTTTGTATCAAATTGCAAGCAGATCGAGGTACCTCGTTGCAAATTCATATGCATCTTTAATAAAAATAATACATATATACGGGAAATGAATGTGATTCCTATTGCTACAGGTCATTATTTGTCTCATTTAATTGTAAATATTTACCCCGTATGAAAGAATATATATATATATATATATATATATATATATATATATATATATACATATATATATATATATATATTCTTTCATATATAGATTTATATCTATATATCTATATATATATTATATATATATATATATTCTTTCATATATATATATATATATATATTTATATATATATATATTTCTTCCATATATATATGTATATATATATATATATATATATATATATATATGTGTGTGTATATTCTTTCATGTATATTTATATATCTATATCGATATATGTATATATATATATATTCTTTGATATATATATATATATATATATATATATATAAATTTCAGAAGGAATATATCGGTAATAGGACAATATAAATAAGCCAACCTACGTAATTATAAAAATGTGAATAACTTAAAAGAAAACTCTTAAATTCATAACCCCCAGTTATGTAAAATATATAACACATAAATGAATCCCAGATTAAAATAGTTTAAATATTAATTTGCATAAAAATTTAAAGAATGTTTTGACTCACATTCGTTTTCTAGACATTGAATTGTCTCAATTCGCGCCCTCAATAATTTATCTAGTATTTTCAGTTAACCTGTCGAATTTTTATGAGAGTTTCTTGAATTTAAGATGTGACGTCGTCCCCCGGTCGCAGCGCCAACTGTGACGTTCTATCCTGATCTACCACGGCGCCAGTTGTGACGTCCTCAAACAGCACCACTTGTGACGTCTTCGCCGCGGCGCCAGCCGCACGCCGCTCGCTGCTCCGTTCGGGTGTCGCTGCTCCAAACGTGACGTCCGCCTGTCGCGTCAGTCGTGTTGTCTCGTCCTGTGACGACCAACTGGCTTGGTATCGGTCGCGGCACCCAAATGTGACGTTCTAACCTTTTGGTGATTCGGGTGGGAATCTGGTTAGATTTGATATCAGCCTCGTCGTTCCCAACTCGTTTCCAACGCCTGGTTCCCAAGGTAACTGCATTGATCTCCAGTCTGCCTACCCACGTTGTGAATTGATCTTAGACAGACGAGATCAAACAGTGGTTGGGGCCGTAATGCAAATTGAGTTCAACAGGGGTGATAACACACAAATATGCATAAAAGAAAACAATGAAAACTCAAAAAGTTCAAAGTATCAAAGAAAAAGGTAACAAACTTTATGTCTAGTTGTTCGATACATAGGACTGCATCTATCTCCCACCCCGTTCTGTGGATTGTGACACGTCGTTTTCGCTAGGCAAGTTTTAACGCTTCAAGTTGTTTGCTCTCTAAGAAATTTGTGTTTCAGTGTGTCTTTGGACGAAAGTCGAAAAAACTTATTTCGGTGGTCTGATCCTAAGTCGCTCTTCAAAATAATTGTTCTTGGTTGAAGAGGAGTCCGGAATTTTGCGTGAATCTTGGTCAGCTATCTCGAGGCGGCTTCAACTCTGGAAACTGGAGCTCGAACTCTCTGGACACTCATCTCTGCCGCCAGGGCCCGAACTCTCTCGACACGCATCTCTGCCGCCAGGGCACGAACATTCTGGACACTCATCTCTGCCGCCAGGGCCCGAACTTTCTGGACGCTCATCTCTGCCGCCAGGGCCCGAACTTTCTGGACGCTCATCTCTGTCGCCAGGGCCCGAACTTTCTGGACGCTCATCTCTGCCGCCAGGGCCCGAAATGATTTCTGCCTGTTGGGACTTGGCTTTTATTGACGCCGACCAAAACCGGGGTGGTTCTGTTGGCGTCCGGGGGTTCCCTCGATAATTCTAAATACATATCCACCTCTTTTATTTCTGGTTAGGGATTTTCCACTCTTTTCCATTTTTGGGGACTTTTTCTCACTCCCACTTTCTCACCATACTTCTGAGGGGCGTGAACTGCCCTCCCCACTTCTTCGTAGCAGCTTCTCATACTTATACTCTGGATGGGGGCGTCGACAGCCTCCTTCGTGCGTCACGTGATCACTCTCGGCCAATGAGGTCTTGGTCGGGTATCTTTCCTCCTCCTTCGTGCGTCACGTGATCACCACTTGACCAATGATGTCTTAGTCGGGCGTGAACAATCCGCGGCTTTGTTTCGGAAAAAAAAATAATACCTTGCTTAACTAAAAAAAAATTAATTATCTCTTCTCTTTCCTTTTTCTTCCTTTCAAATCGCCGTTATCATTTCTCTATTCACGAACGGATAATATGTCAACTCTTTGTTCAACACGTGGCGTTTGTCAGGTAGCTTATCGCTAATTCATCAAGATGGTTGGTTTTCCCGACATGGCCTCAGAAAAGAATTATCCCTAAAAATTTCAGTCAGTTTGTCGTCTCCAAGGAAGAAAGAAAAACATTTCTGGTTCCCATTTATTTTCCTTCGGTACATGTGTCTGATAACATAATTTTATTATCGCAGGGCAAAGTTGTTTTGTTGAAAGGAATTCGGTCAGCGCTCTGCTTGTGTGGGATTTAATTTTTCATATCTGTCCAAAGTCCTTTTTAGTGGCCTGTCTCTCGTTACTTATCGAAATAGCATTTTCACTTGAATTTTTCCTAGGCCGGTGGTCCAGCCATTCGTTTACGTACCTAGATAACATAGCCGTTATCAAAACACATCTGGTTTCTTCTTTCTTTTCCTCTTCTTTTTTTTTTACTCAGAAATTCCCTGTCATTCTAATGACACACTTTTTCACTTGTTACTTATCAATATTTTCATTGTCTCTTAGGCCATGTGTGTGTCTGTTTTATCACCTATGATCCGTCTCGCATTTCTTTCTGCCTTCTTTTCTTACTCTTTCTTTCTCTGCCTCGTAAATGGTGCCACAAGATTTTTAAAAAATATAACAACAATTTTCCACTTTTCCATAAATATTTCTTCTGAAATAAAATCCTTACATTTGCCTTGATAAAGTCCATTTATTGATGCAACACACTAAAATCAATTTTCCTCTTGTGTTTATTCATATACACACAAATACACACACACACACACACACACACACACACACACACACATATATATATATATATATATATATATATACATACATACATATGCTGTATTTATGGCAGAATGGTATTCAACATTCGTGATAAAAAATAATATTCAGATCTCAAATATATCATTCCCATCATTTTCCCTGCTAAATACTTGAGAATTACCATGAATGAGCGTGTGGTTTAATGTACAGAGACTCGGAAGGAGATTGAGCAGGGTTCAAAATCTAATCGATTTTATTGCATTCACTTACGCACCAATACCCTTGGTAAAGGTATGAATTCTTCCACTGCACTAGGTTAAATAGAAGGGTAATCTCAGCTCTTTTACTGTTGTGAGTCTAAGAGAAATAAATCTCTTTATTGCAAACCCTTTTGGGTATGGAGATGGCAATCCTATCCCGTAAAGACCTACAATTTGATATGGAAACAATAACAGCTTGTTGATTATATACACCTTATTTTATTTATGAAAGAGAATATTCTATGCATTTTCATAAACACCTGGCAATATTCTGCTATTCTCTTTTCTTTAGCATTGGCTTAATTCTATGTACTTTTTACTGAAGTTAACATGACAGGAACTTCATGAAACATATGGTTTGGACTTAATATTTGAACATCTGTCTGTTTTCATAACTATTTATCATTTTCATTTTATATTATTATAGTAGAAAATTATAGCAAAATATCTGTAGATATTTATTGAAAGAAGTTCCAGTATTAGAGAAAGACGATATAACAAAAATATGGAATAACATATACAGTCCAAATGAGGAAAAAACATTTAGGTAGGGAGAGCCTTCATCTTCGACTTGAGCCTTTCGCATTTTCTCAAATAATGGTCATTAGCTAATGTGGGAAATATCCACCCAACTTTCTTATTGGTCAATCAATATAATAAATGAAGAATGGGTAACATTATGAATTCAGAATAATTTTATAGATTATGCAAACGCTTTTGATAACGTGCCACACAGAGAACTACTAGGTAACTTGTTTTATGTGGGGAAGTGATGAGAATAATTAAGAACTTATACTAAGAAATTAAAAAAAATCTTTTTGGAAGTAACATAAGTTACACCCTTGAATATCGTTGAAAAATATTCCGAATTTACGGTGTTAACGCATTTTGTAATTTTTCTAATTGTCAGTCGGTATTGAACTTAGCGACCTTACACACACACACATGCGCACGCACACACACACACACATATATATATATATATATATATATATATATATATATATATATAGGTAACTATACTCGTTTCGAAAAACCTTCGAATTTTTGATTTGTCAATAATCAAATCAATCTCGAAGGGAAAAATGGTTTAAAAAAAGAAAGAGCTAGAAACATGAAAGTCTGTCGAAAAAAATCGCAAAGATACAGGTTTAAAGCCCAAAGGAAAAGAAACCCGACACGAGTAAACAACTAACTAACTAAAAGAGCTCAATACAACCGTAGAGCAGCTTTCCCGGACGATCCGCTTAGGTGAAACCTGGGTAGGTTTCTCTGGCTCACTAGGTTTATCTATCTATCTATCTATCTATATCTATATATCTATATATATATATATATATATATATATATATATATATATATATATACATATGTATATATATATATATATATATATATATATATATATATATATATTTATAGTAATTAAATCTGCTCTCCGATTTGCATTTCCGAGCCATTATCAATATCACCAAACTCACATCCAAGCTATTAGTTCCTACTTTCCAACGAGATCTGGACTTAAGATTTACCAATACATTGTTGATCTATCTATCTATCTATCTATCTCTCTCTCTCTCTATATATATATATATATATATATATGAATATAATTCAATATATATATAGACTATATATATGTATATATTATATATGTAACACACACACACACACACATATATATATATATATATATATATATATATATATATATATATATATATAATTTAAATGTGGATCTTTGGTGGATACCCGTATGTGTGTATTTCTATAGTCTTTGAATTACACTTCCCAGATCGGTTAAGAAATAAACCAGTATAAGTAAAGTTTTCACTGCAACAACATGGTTAATACAGTCGTTTTTACCTATTTACATTTTACCTTGTATTTAATCTTTATTGTCAATGACGCTTTATATTGTCCGTATTGATCCATCTTAATCCAGCCTTCTATACTACATAGGTCAAACCAGGCTGAAGTCAGCTGTGATTAGCGTCACTGTCCAAGATATAATCCCACGCAATTTCTCCCCAGCACGCATCAGTACACATATTTTTTTCCATTAGCCAATGTATAAGCACGAATGTAGCTGGAAGCATCTTTTCTCTATTGGACATGATCTTTCTGGAATATTCAAGCGATTTCACAGGAGACAATTGCAGTTCTTTTTGCATTTTATTCTGACGATGTGTGCAAATGGAAAGCAATTACGTGTCGGACCAAAAAGTTAATATAAAAACAATATTGTGTAGCTGTAGAGAACTACAGGCGCATAAGTGTAGGCTTTTTTTTAAAGTTCAATATAATAAAGGGAATTGAAAACGAGTTAAAACACTTTGTACTCACCCTATGTTGTCATTTATATCTATAATTCTCTAAATGTGTGTGTGTGTGTTTGCGTGTGTTCGGATGTTGTTTATGAAGTCCCACAGTTTTCACCCGATTTCGATGAAATATTTGTTTGATAGATAATTCTTCAGCGTTGGTTTTGAGTCTAAATTGTTGGCGACAATGGCTCTTCACTACTTCCTGTCCATTATAACTCTCAGCAACGTTTTACTATTTATTATCTGTTCTTTGATCTTTATAAATCTTTCATAAAAAAATGATAAAAATAAATAGTTTAAATTATTACAATAATATTATCTATGTCAGTAATTCTCAAAACGTGTGTATATGTGTATGTGTGTTTGTGTCTCTGTGTGTGTGTCTGTATCATAGGTGATAAAACAGCCACACACATGGTCTAAGAGACAATGAAAATATTGATAAGTAACAAATGAAAAAGTGTGTCATTAGAATGACAGGGAATTTCTGAGTAAAAAAAAAAAAAAAAAAGGAAAAGAAAGAAGGAACTAGATGTGTTTTGATAACGGCTATTTTATCTAGGTACGTAAACGAATGGCTGGACCACCGGCCCAGGAAAAATTCAAGTGAAAATGCTATTTCGATAAGTAACGAGAGACAGGCCACTAAAAAGGACTTTGGACAGATATGTGGTCGGATGCGTGGTCGGATGTTGTTCATGCATTTCCTCAGTGTAAATCCGATTTCGATGAAATGTTTTTGTTTGATAGATAATTCTTCAGTGCCTCTTCCGTTAATACCCTTTATAGATTTACAGCGTTTTCTTCTGGTATTTACTCACGCATTCCATGTGATAATTCATACTTGCTTAAGACATGCCACCAAAGAAAAGAACTGTCCTAGGTTGCACAACCGCTGCCGCCATATCTGCCATGCGAATACGAGATAACGAACCGTCTTTAGAACGTTCAGTTTGCTTGTCTCAAAATGCCTCTCGGAATGCTTCATTTAGAGCCACTGAGTCCGAAGATCACCGTAACCATCGGCTTTCAGGCAAAATATACCTTGATGCTTCTGCGCGTGAAGCTGAAAATGATAACCAATGGACCCAACGTCTGAGGAGAAACGCCTCTTCAACTGCTGCTGAGA